GTCTGCGTGCCCGTTTTCCACGTGGTTCCAGCCCCACGGAGCCTGGAATGCCTTCACGCAGGAGACAGCGAGAGGCAAAGTGGACACACATCCCAGGAAAGATGACCCAGGGGCACACGGGCCACCATCTGATCACACGGTCAAGTGACTCCCTTTCCATTTTGCTTCCAAGCCTTCTGATTCCTCCGAAGAAAGGACTTCTCCAGGACTTGCTTCTCTCTCCCTTTTTAGCCAAGAGAGCTGACCTCTAGGTTTTGCAGCTTTTGCAGGCAAATACATCTGGCTGGAGTTTTATAACATTGTTTTCCTTCTCTTGGGGTGGGACCAGATTTGGGGGCACCCTGAAACCCAGGTCCAACTTGGGGTGCCCAAATGGGAGCAATTACAAGAGCTAGTGCAAAGGAGTGACCCGAGTTGCCTTTGGAGCTGGGGGTTGGAGGTGGGGGAAGGAGAGTTGGGAAGCTTCTTTCCGAGGCTCTGGCTGTGGCCTGCCCGGACCCCAGGGTCGAGGGAAACAGCGAGGGTAGGTGGGTAGACAGGAGAGGTGAGGACGGGTTTGTGTGAGAGGCGTGGAGAGCAGACGCCCGGCAGTGCCCCTTCTCCTTGACCGACACCTCCAGCTCTGACCTCTGAGTGCTAAACTTCCCTTGGCGCCTGGTGTGACGGGGCCCGTGTGCAGAAGGGTCCCGGGGTCTGGTGGTGAGCCTTTGAGAGCCGTGTTTCCAGAGTGGCTGTGTATTTCTTTAACACGGGGGACAGGGCCAACATCAACACACAGCTGAAGCACTGTTCGGGTGGGCGGGTTGGTATCCTGGTTGTTGGGTGGTCCGTGTTTTGTTTTGTTTTAATCCTACATGAGAAAGGAGCCCTGGTGGTGCGGCGGTTAAGCGCTCGGCCGCGAACCAGAAGGTCGGCAGTTCAAATCCACCAGCCGCTCCTTGGAAACCCAATGGGGCGGTTCTACTCTGTCCTGTAGGTCGCTATGAGTCGGGATCAACTCGATGGCAGTGGGTTTGGTTTTTGGTGTATGAGAAAAGGATCGCTAAGCAGTCCTGGTGGGAACACTGGTTTTAGAAGTAGTTTTCAGAGAAACTGCTGGAGCTTAAGCCTCTGGCTCTTCTGTTGGGGAGCTGGGGAACCGTGGGCCGCTCCTCTCGGTTCTGTGTGTCGTCCGTCGCCAGGATTGTCCTGCCAGGCCAACTGGTTTCTGCTTGCTGTTTCAGGCTTCTGCCGCGTTCCCAAAGTGGTGGGAAGGTGCCGGGCCTCCCTCCCGAGATGGTGGTACAACGCCACGGATGGTTCCTGCCAGCTGTTTGTGTACGGAGGCTGCGAGGGAAATGACAATAACTACCTGACCGAGGACGACTGTCTGAAGAAGTGTGCCGGCATCACAGGTCAGTCAGCCTGGGAGCGTTTGACTCTGTAGAGACAGGTGATGCCTTAGAATGGGGGCAGCTTCTGCTCTTCACTGGTGCCACACGGCCGAGTCTGAGGAAGTGGTTTAAAAAGCAGAAGACACAGAGGCGCGGTGTGAAGGTTAGCCACACGGTCAGGCCGTAGGATGGGGCTGAACTGTGGACAGAACGGGTGGGGGCCACAACCGTGTCTTCTGCCTGGCTTCCTCTCTCCCACCTCAGAGGGAGACTCCCCCCGCCCCCCGCAGACTAGGCAGGGGAAATGTTCTCCACTTTGTCAGCAGAGCCCTCCAGGTCCTCTCAGACCCCCCACCTCTGCCCGCCCCTGCTTGCCGTGCATTTGGGTTATTTTTACCTCTGGGACAAATGCCTTGAATAGCTCACTCAGCCAAGTTACAGGTCAAGTTCAAGCTAGAACATACTTCTTGGAATCTGCCCTTGTCCTGGCCCTCACCCATCAGGGTTCTGTGGACCCCAGAATCTGCCCTTGTCCCAGCTCTTAGACATCAAGGTTCTGTGGACCCCAGAATCTGCCCTTGTCCCAGCTCTCACCCATCAGGGTTCTGTGGACCCCAGGTAAGGGCCTGAAGAGCCTTACAATTTAAGGAAAAAACTAAAGCAATTTGGGATGATGGAAGATGTTTGGAAATGGATAGCAGTGATGGCTGCATAGCACGGTGAAGGTAATCAATTGTACACTTAAAAATGCTTAAAATGGTTTTGTGTTATATGTATTTTACCACAATAAAATTAAAAAACAAAACAAAACCCTAAAGCCCCACAGCAGGGCACACTGGCTCAGTTACAGGGGGAACTGAGACGTGGCAGGTTCTCCGAGAGCTGACGGCAGTGAGGCTTCGGCCCTCTGGGAACTGCTCCAAGTGTTCTGGAACCCTGAGGATTTGGCCGCCCCCAGGCTCTGTGTCAAACAGTTTCAATGGCACTCTCGCTAACATGGATGAAGTGACTTCTTGCCTCTTTTCTTGGAGACCTTGGTGCTCACTGCCCATGTCGAGCCGTGAGCCCACACCCAGACACCCATCTCCTGGGCCTCACGTCCCTGTGGCTTAGGGCTTTCTCTCTCCTCACTCACTGGCTATAATCTCTGTTAGCTTTGAGCTATACTTTCAGAAATCAGATAAGATTACTAACCCAAACCAAACCAAACCCATTGCCACTGAGTCAGTTCCAACTCATAG